CGAGCTCGGGGGATGAGCTCATCAGCCCGGAGCTGCCCGCGTAGTTCTCGCCCCAGCTGTACTGGTCCGGGTCTGGGAAGGAGGAACGGTGTTACCGGGCCAAGCAGCTGAGAGGCCCGAACCTCAGACACCACGCCCCAGGGAAGGAGGCGCCCAGGGAAGGAGGCGCCCAGGGAAGAAGGTGCCCAGGGAAGGACCTGCCCAGGGAAGGACCCGTCCAGGGAAGGCGGCGCCCAGGGAAGGCGGCGCCCAGGGAAGGAGGGGCCCAGGGAAGGAGGCGCCCAGGGAAGGACCTGCCCAGGGAAGGCGGCGACCAGGGAAGGACCTGCCCAGGGAAGGCGGCGACCAGGGAAGGACCTGCCCAGGGAAGGCGGCGACCAGGGAAGGACCTGCCCAGGGAAGGCGGCGACCAGGGAAGGACCTGCCCAGGGAAGGCGGCGACCAGGGAAGGACCTGCCCAGGGAAGGCGGCGACCAGGGAAGGACCTGCCCAGGGAAGGCGGCGACCAGGGAAGGACCTGCCCAGGGAAGGCGGCGACCAGGGAAGGACCTGCCCAGGGAAGGCGGCGACCAGGGAAGGACCTGCCCAGGGAAGGCGGCGACCAGGGAAGGACCTGCCCAGGGAAGGCGGCGACCAGGGAAGGACCTGCCCAGGGAAGGCGGCGACCAGGGAAGGACCTGCCCAGGGAAGGCGGCGACCAGGGAAGGACCTGCCCAGGGAAGGCGGCGACCAGGGAAGGACCTGCCCAGGGAAGGCGGCGACCAGGGAAGGACCTGCCCAGGGAAGGCGGCGACCAGGGAAGGACCTGCCCAGGGAAGGCGGCGACCAGGGAAGGACCTGCCCAGGGAAGGCGGCGACCAGGGAAGGACCTGCCCAGGGAAGGCGGCGACCAGGGAAGGACCTGCCCAGGGAAGGCGGCGACCAGGGAAGGACCTGCCCAGGGAAGGCGGCGACCAGGGAAGGACCTGCCCAGGGAAGGCGGCGACCAGGGAAGGACCTGCCCAGGGAAGGCGGCGACCAGGGAAGGACCTGCCCAGGGAAGGCGGCGACCAGGGAAGGACCTGCCCAGGGAAGGCGGCGACCAGGGAAGGACCTGCCCAGGGAAGGCGGCGACCAGGGAAGGACCTGCCCAGGGAAGGCGGCGACCAGGGAAGGACCTGCCCAGGGAAGGCGGCGACCAGGGAAGGACCTGCCCAGGGAAGGCGGCGACCAGGGAAGGACCTGCCCAGGGAAGGCGGCGACCAGGGAAGGACCTGCCCAGGGAAGGCGGCGACCAGGGAAGGACCTGCCCAGGGAAGGCGGCGACCAGGGAAGGACCTGCCCAGGGAAGGCGGCGACCAGGGAAGGACCTGCCCAGGGAAGGCGGCGACCAGGGAAGGACCTGCCCAGGGAAGGCGGCGACCAGGGAAGGACCTGCCCAGGGAAGGCGGCGACCAGGGAAGGACCTGCCCAGGGAAGGCGGCGACCAGGGAAGGACCTGCCCAGGGAAGGCGGCGACCAGGGAAGGACCTGCCCAGGGAAGGCGGCGACCAGGGAAGGACCTGCCCAGGGAAGGCGGCGACCAGGGAAGGACCTGCCCAGGGAAGGCGGCGACCAGGGAAGGACCTGCCCAGGGAAGGCGGCGACCAGGGAAGGACCTGCCCAGGGAAGGCGGCGACCAGGGAAGGACCTGCCCAGGGAAGGCGGCGACCAGGGAAGGACCTGCCCAGGGAAGGCGGCGACCAGGGAAGGACCTGCCCAGGGAAGGCGGCGACCAGGGAAGGACCTGCCCAGGGAAGGCGGCGACCAGGGAAGGACCTGCCCAGGGAAGGCGGCGACCAGGGAAGGACCTGCCCAGGGAAGGCGGCGACCAGGGAAGGACCTGCCCAGGGAAGGCGGCGACCAGGGAAGGACCTGCCCAGGGAAGGCGGCGACCAGGGAAGGACCTGCCCAGGGAAGGCGGCGACCAGGGAAGGACCTGCCCAGGGAAGGCGGCGACCAGGGAAGGACCTGCCCAGGGAAGGCGGCGACCAGGGAAGGACCTGCCCAGGGAAGGCGGCGACCAGGGAAGGACCTGCCCAGGGAAGGCGGCGACCAGGGAAGGACCTGCCCAGGGAAGGCGGCGACCAGGGAAGGACCTGCCCAGGGAAGGCGGCGACCAGGGAAGGACCTGCCCAGGGAAGGCGGCGACCAGGGAAGGACCTGCCCAGGGAAGGCGGCGACCAGGGAAGGACCTGCCCAGGGAAGGCGGCGACCAGGGAAGGACCTGCCCAGGGAAGGCGGCGACCAGGGAAGGACCTGCCCAGGGAAGGCGGCGACCAGGGAAGGACCTGCCCAGGGAAGGCGGCGACCAGGGAAGGACCTGCCCAGGGAAGGCGGCGACCAGGGAAGGACCTGCCCAGGGAAGGCGGCGACCAGGGAAGGACCTGCCCAGGGAAGGCGGCGACCAGGGAAGGACCTGCCCAGGGAAGGCGGCGACCAGGGAAGGACCTGCCCAGGGAAGGCGGCGACCAGGGAAGGACCTGCCCAGGGAAGGCGGCGACCAGGGAAGGACCTGCCCAGGGAAGGCGGCGACCAGGGAAGGACCTGCCCAGGGAAGGCGGCGACCAGGGAAGGACCTGCCCAGGGAAGGCGGCGACCAGGGAAGGACCTGCCCAGGGAAGGCGGCGACCAGGGAAGGACCTGCCCAGGGAAGGCGGCGACCAGGGAAGGACCTGCCCAGGGAAGGCGGCGACCAGGGAAGGACCTGCCCAGGGAAGGCGGCGACCAGGGAAGGACCTGCCCAGGGAAGGCGGCGACCAGGGAAGGACCTGCCCAGGGAAGGCGGCGACCAGGGAAGGACCTGCCCAGGGAAGGCGGCGACCAGGGAAGGACCTGCCCAGGGAAGGCGGCGACCAGGGAAGGACCTGCCCAGGGAAGGCGGCGACCAGGGAAGGACCTGCCCAGGGAAGGCGGCGACCAGGGAAGGACCTGCCCAGGGAAGGCGGCGACCAGGGAAGGACCTGCCCAGGGAAGGCGGCGACCAGGGAAGGACCTGCCCAGGGAAGGCGGCGACCAGGGAAGGACCTGCCCAGGGAAGGCGGCGACCAGGGAAGGACCTGCCCAGGGAAGGCGGCGACCAGGGAAGGACCTGCCCAGGGAAGGCGGCGACCAGGGAAGGACCTGCCCAGGGAAGGCGGCGACCAGGGAAGGACCTGCCCAGGGAAGGCGGCGACCAGGGAAGGACCTGCCCAGGGAAGGCGGCGACCAGGGAAGGACCTGCCCAGGGAAGGCGGCGACCAGGGAAGGACCTGCCCAGGGAAGGCGGCGACCAGGGAAGGACCTGCCCAGGGAAGGCGGCGACCAGGGAAGGACCTGCCCAGGGAAGGACCCGTCCAGGGAAGGAGGCGCCCAGGGAAGGAGGCGCCAGGGAAGGAGGCGCCCAGGTCTTGGCGATGAGGGGCCGGAGTCCGTGTTCCTGCCTCTCGCTCCCACGGGCAGCGAGACCCCATGAGACCCCCTGAGTGGCCACTGAGAGCTTGTAAGCGTCTCCAGAAACTCTGCCCTCGTTTCCTCAGACGAGCGAAGGGAGCAGCGGGGTCGGTGCTGGCCGCGCGCCCGGGAGCCTGCCCGTGCATCCTGTCCTGGCAGGGCCACACTGGACCCCAGTCCCTTTGTTTTTACTTATTTATTTAATCCTCACCCTAGGGCGTGTTCTCACTGATTTTAGAGAGAAACAAAGGGGAGAGACAAACATCGCTGTTGCGAGAAGCATCAATCGTTGCCTCCCGCACGCGCCATGCCCGGGACCAAACCCGAAACCTAGGTACGGGTCTGCTGGGAGGGAACCTGCGGCCCTAGGTGTGCGGGACTAGGTCCAGCCAGCCGAGCCCCCGCCCGGGGCCCCTCTGGTTTCCTCCAAAAGGACAGAGAACGGCCCTGGGCCGACAGCGAGGCGTGAGGAGGGGGCGCCGGCCTGAGCCCCGTGTCCCTCACTGGGACCCTGATTGTCACACACAGGCCCACCGTCGCTTTCCAGCCCCTCAGGGCAGGCACAGCCAAGGGCTAGCC